GTATTTCATAGTTTTGGATTAATTAATAATTTGTTTCTGAAAAAGCAAGGATGAAACCAAAAATGAGTACAAAATTATCCGACGTATAGCAGTAAACAGAATTTAAAATGTTTTTACTTAACAAATAAATATCCTTATTAATTAATTTCTTTTTTAAAGTTGCACTGCCAGTTTTTTTATGAAACTTTTAGTCTAAAAATTAATAACGGAAAAATGAGTAACTAAATAAGGTTACCTATATTACTAATAAATGGAAACAAATAAGATGTAGTTCTTACTGAAAGAATATCTTTTTAACAAAGTGAAAGAAAATAATTTTAAAATTTGATAATTCATTAAATATTTATAACGCAGGTAATTTTAGGCACTTACTCATCTTCTCTTCACAAATGTTTTAGACTATATTTTTCATAAAAATTTTCCAATCCAACTTACATAAGCGTGCAATATTTCCTCTCGATATCTCTGTGCCGGTACAGATGTTTTGTCGAACATTTGTCAGGAATGGCAAGCGCAGGCTAATTTTTCATTATTCTCTCTTTACCATCACCATTTGCATCGTCTACCTAATACTGGTGGTACTATTACATATTCTTAATTGCCTCCAGATGTAAAAGCATCTGGAATCGTTGATAAACTTTGAATCTATAATAGTATAATATATCTATAATAGTTATTGACTTTAATTTTCTATATCAATATCACACTTCAAAATGTTTTACTTTGGTTTTCAAAAATTAAGTACATGTAACTCAATTAGATGTACATTTGACATACAGCATAGTATTACATATTGATTGATTTCATACTTGAGGATACATTAGTCAGCTGTATTATCTATTCACTAACACAATGAAAAAATATTTAAATATCTATTTAATCCTCAGTGTGCTTATTTCTGACTTTTTATGTACAAAGAAAATATTTTGAATGCAAATAAAACAAGTTTTATATAGATGTGATCTCCTCTCACTTAAGAAGTACAATTCGAATCTGTGTTTCATTCCTTCTTTCGCATAAGAAGGGTGCAGCAGCTTCCATTCATGCAGAATTTCAGATTGCAAATGTAATGATAAATTGTAAATAGAGGAAGCTGGCAATCAAAGACATCTCTTACAAGATTATTTTAAGTACTTTTGATAAGACCGAAGTCCAGAGAATAAGCAGACATTTGCATTATGAGTTAATGTATGCATTTCACCAACATTGCTTTGTGGAGACGAACGATATCGTCTATCAGACAAGAAATTCATCCATTTCTTATGATTTATTTTAGAAATTTGTATTTTTAAATAATTAAAAAAATTTTCAAAACACCTTTTTGAATTATAACCTATAAAACTTTTACCATCATCTTAAAGTAGATGTATTTCTAAGCATACCTGCAAAAAATTAGAGCTTTTGATTCAAAAGTTCAAATATATACGTGAATTTACATATTGACGAGTTTTGAAATTTGGCCTATTTGTTTAAAGCGATAACAAGATCAAACGTGCTTGGCAGTTAAGCGATCAGCTTGCTAAGGCAGTTTGTTAAAACTATTTGAAAGTAAGAATGATATGACTTCTTTTCCACTCATGCACAATGCAAATAAATAGGAACGATGTGACTTCTTTTCCGCTCATGCACTATGCAAATAAATAGGAACGATGTGACATTTTTTACGCTACTGCACAATCGAAGGGAAAGGAAAATAGGTTGCCATATATTAAGAAGTTCGCCAGGCAAATTATCCTTGCGAAAACTGAAAAAAAATACGCCAAAATAATTTTTTTAATTTCTCTGAAAATTTCGCACCAAATTTTACAAAATTTAACATTTAGTTATAATTTGAGTCGTAGAATCGAAATATGGAAAAAACTGGGCATGTCATTTCATAAAAAATATGATTTTGTGTCAAAATACCTATGTTAGAATGACGCTATATATAAATCTAATATATATCCTAAGTCGCGCTTATTTCGAGACATAAAAATGCAATTTGAATTTCGTCAATCGGCCCAGTAGAACGGGTGATATAGGCCCAGTAGAACGGGTGATATAGGCCCAGTAGAACGGGTCTTTTTTCGTTTTTTCCCCCGCAATGTACTTGATCCTAATACTTTTATGCAGTACAGTAATTACCTTATGTGAAGATCTGTGCTATATTTCAAAGAGAAAAGTTGAGGTTGGAAATGGTTTTCTACTTCATGATAACTTTTTTACCTCAGCACTTGTATCACAAAATTTTGCATCATAAAAATCAAAGGATAAAAAGACATTTTTACGTATAAAATAATTAATTTTGATGAGTAAATTTTTTGTCAATGTCAGAATTCAAGTTTTTAACCAACTGTTAAATTGCTTGAAATTAGCTTCCTAGCTTAACGGATAGAGTTGTAGAAAAGCAAATTTTAGATTGCATTTCGGATTGCTCCCCATCGGCTGCCGGATCACGATAATTTATGACCATGAAGGCTATAACTGAAATCCTAAATTATACCAAAGATTAATTCTAGATTAATTCCGTATTATTCTGGAATTCCGGAATTTAAATCGTTACCAACTGAATATGACACCAGAAGCATTTTTGTGAGTCAGAAATATGCAGTATAGATCGCTTTTATGACATATTTTTATTTGCGATTATAAAGGTAAATAATTCAATGCAAATGTGAAGAATATTTAGTTCTTTCGCATTCAATATAAATTAAACGGGATTAAAGAGACAAGAATCTGTGGCTAGTCACACCTGGAAAAACACTACTAAAAATCTTATGCTTAAATAATTTTTTCAAATTATAAACCTTCAAACATTTTCATACTTTTACTGTATTAATTTTCCATATAATATTTAATGAAGAAGCGCCTGTTCCATATACTACTTAATGAAGAAGCGCTTCTATCTCTAAACTTTTTATTTACGTAATGTTCGTTTAATTTAATATCTAAATTATGCTGAACGTCCGTCAGATTACTTACTTATTTGCATCTAGATGATTTTTTTTGTGTATTTCAGAAAAAGTACAAGTATAACATATAAATAATAATCATGAACGTGCATTGATTGGCTACTAATAGATTTTCACAATATGTTTGGAAGCAGTGTAAAATTCAATTTAATAGCTTCACATTATATGCCTTTGATTTTCTGCCTGTGTAGATGCTAAAACCAGCAAATCTATACCTAAAAATTAAATAAAAATGTAATAAATAATGTAGTTGCATCAAAGGTGCCCTCTTAGTTATACGTAAATACTTAAGATATAAAGTGAATAATAGACAAAAGTACTAAGTGCGAATGAACACCGTGTGTGTGTTTGTGATTATGGCAAAGCCTCGAGGGCTATCTGCCTAAGAGGAGGGATGCCTTCGTGGAGGACTTTCTAAGGGAAACTGGCTCGTATACACGTTACACATGGGGAAAACCACGAAAACACCCATGCAGCCAGCCCGTTCGCGGGATTCGAACCTCGGACCGAACTAGCAGTGTTCAGCGACTTTACCGCTCGGCCGCTGGTGGGCGAATGAACACCGTGATATGTATTTATATACGTAGAAGACCCAAAAGAAAGGCGATAAAAATGTTCGTTAAATAATTTATTTAAGTGTATATTTATAACAATCTATTTTTTTTTCTTAAAGCCGTATGTGTTAGTTATATGTACATAAATATGTATACTTATATATATATATATTGCAAAATAAATTAAAATGAATAATACGCTTAAAATTTATCCCATATTCAGTGTGGACTAAACCGATATGCTAAAACCAAAAAGCAAAAGCACAGTAGCAAACTGCAAGAAAAGGGGAAAAATCATACTAAAACCAAAACTGAAATAAGAAATCTACCTATTTTGGCGCATTTCGTTATCAGAAGCTTTGTGATACGAGGGAAGCAAGTAACTGTTTATCTGCTAGTAAAGGCAGAAATCTACAATTCAAAAAAACAGTCAAAGTAATATATATTTTTAAAAGGCGACTCCCGACAGATCAAAGTAAGAAGTGTAAAAAATTGCAAAATTATAGCATCAAAAACATAAATAAATTTAAAAAAGCGTAAACATGTTATTTTGATAGACCGAGCCCAGAAAACAAAACATGCGAGCATAAGCAATTCCGTACAAGATAAATTAAGAAGGTATGCTAAATTTTGAAATAATACTGGCCGGGTTAAAGATATTTTTTAATAATTATAGCATCAAAATCACAAACAAGCAAAAAAGCTTAAAATTATCACAATGGTAATTTTTAATTTAAGCGGACAAACTCCAAAAATATGTAAAATAGAAGAATCCAACATATGAAAAAATAATCAATGAAAAACTGATCTAAGTTCATTCTGGTTTTTGGTTTTGCACATGGTTTATTCCAAAACGAATATGGCATGAGTTTTGAACGTACCGTTTATTTTAATTTATTTTACATTATTAATACCTGTTATTGCTGCTTTCAACTCGGACTTGAATTAGGTTTTGATCTGCTTTTACTTTGCATTTATTCTGATATATGTATATATATAAGCAGCGATATGTGTGGTATGAAAAATAAACTTACATAAATGATACTCGTATGTTTCATACGTATTCATTTAATGTTATATGTATAACTAACTAAGTATATATATATATTTAAACCATACATAGGTATAGCTAAGCACATGTAAATGGAAATGTGTGTACATGTAGAAAGCGAGATCATTTTACGTATAACTTTGTCTGTACGTTTTCATTAAAGAAGATCATTTTTTCTCCATAATGGGAGCGATTTTTAGCTCTTCTATCTTTTCCTCCATTACCTTGAAATCTGTATAGTTATTAGACAATGCCATTACCTTGGATTAGACCCTTCATTTTCAAACGTAATCTGCGACACCTCATTCAGTATTAAGTCACGTGCATTGAGGGAAAGTGAACTGCACCCCAAAGCCTAAGGTTGGGCAATCTCTATGTACATCAATCATAAAACTTAAATTAGTTCTGATGGTGTTAACTGAAGCGCACATCTTTCCACAGGGCAGCTGAAAAGAATGACTTTATGACGAACACTTCGAAGTTATTGGACAGTTTGCTCTCCTCTGAAAATTATGACAGACAGATTAGACCAGGATTTGGAGGTATGTGTTATATTTGATTCTTATTAACCGAAACGAGTTTCGAGTAATATGCCTAAATGGTTTCAGAATTTACCAAGGAGTAAAAAACTACAAAATTAAATTTTGACGAATTAAGTAGAGTCAAACCTTTCTACTCTGTGTTATTACACTACGCTTAAAATTTTGTTCCATATCTAGAGAAATGATTTAGAATTTCAAATTTTTAACGGTTAAATAAATTATAGAAAATTCAAAGCAATTACTTTTTACTGTCCTAAGTCAACTGATCTTGCGATTGAGTTAAGAGTTTAATTAAATTGAAAAGTATTTCTGCATAGTGCATTGAGTTAATATCGATAATAATTGCAAGAAACTAACATTTAATGGACGACTAAATTGTAGGCGAAGAACTTTAGTCTTATTTAAAGTACTACAGTATAATAATTTAGCAGTATTCGGATGGACGTGCTAGTTTTAAAAAACGAATGTTTTGATTTACTTTTATAAAATGGTATATAAGATTACATCTAATTTACGTTAAAGAAGAATTTCAGAGTCATTTGGTCTAAGTACTATGTATAAAAATGTGCGTTAGGTTGCAAAAACTGTAACTACATTTTAATTACCGATAATAAAATGTTTCGAACTAATTTGTTGAATAGAATGTTTTATAAGTTTGATTCAAATTAATTTTAAAATTTAATTCTGAAATGCAGCTTAGGTTATCTACATTTTTTAAATCTTTACTACAGATTTAAACGCTCTCTGGAAATCTGCTTAAGTGAAATTGAAATATACCTCATATTAAAGAATATATAGTTACTAGTCCAAAGGGGCTTTATACCTGAGGGACTCTTGTTTCGTTTCGCGATTTTGCTGTCGAATTTTGCTTTGATTTGTCGAATCACTCTGAATGTCCGTTTCACTTTTCAAACTGTTGCCACCAAATATTATCTCCCTGTATTATATTTGAAGAAATTAAATAATGAAGAATCTGCATAAATCTATGTATGTTTCTCGGATTGTGATAAAACAACGGTGCCTAGAGCCATCAAATTTTGAATGACGTAATCCTACTGGGAATATGGGCATCTGGAAACTCAAATTTGAAATTTGTTTTATTATCGATTTCATATGTTGTACAAATTTAATGAATTTTTGATTAACAAATTCAAGGATTTCAAAGCGACCAATAGCAACGTTGTAGAGAAAAAAAATTATCTCTAACGCGTGAGATTGTATATCGGAAATTCTAAAGATATGCTCAATTAAAAATTATTTTGTGATATTGGTCTTGAACTGAATTTTATGGTTTAAGTGCGAAGATCATGATATTTAATAAATAAAGGTAACACACAAAATGTTAAAAAAAAACACCCCTTTGGACGTAATTTAAAATTTGAAATCTTTCAGATTTTCGTTTTTATTTTTTAAAATTAAAACATTTAAATTTATTTAAAAATTTAGTAAATAGCTCCAAGAAAAAATTTATTTGTTTTTTTTATTTCTGAGTGTTAGAATTATTTCGAACGCTGCTCAAGCTAATTACGTAAATTTGTAAATACCAGAAGGGAGGCAGTTTACCCATTGATTAAAGATAGCAATATTTTAAGGGTGTCAAAATATTTTTTCATTTCCTGTGATCATAAATGATGATTAATGAAGCATTTAGAAAGGAATTATTTAGAAGTAATCTAATAAATGCTACATTGAATCCCATAAAGTACTGAATTTCAAATGTTTTACAATCATTGGTACTATATCACTAAGCTGTACTTTGAGCAAGTAACACGTATCAACAAAGTATCACGTATTAGCAAGTAAAGAAAATACTTCATTCATAGATGGAATTGGTGATCATCATGCGTGCGTGTGCAATCCAGGAAATCTAAAATTACCGCGTTGTTTCCTGCTTAATGTTTGATTCTGTTTAGGTACTGATTTGCATTCATTTTGAAATTTATTTCCACTCCAGGTCATTTTTCATATCCATCTTCATCTTTATTGAGCGCAATTTAAAAATTAGAATTTCTCTTTTACCTTTTCTTTTAAAGCATTTAAATTCAAAATAAATATCTTCAAGCAGATATTATTTAAAATAATGCTATGATTTTCATACTAAAAGAAATTCATTACACATTTTTACTTGCTCAAAGTACAGCTTAGTGTCTTCGACGTCCTGATAAATTTAATATGCGGCCTGTGAGATATGCGAAATGTTTCTAGTTTAATAAAATTTAATCTTCGATTGAAAATAATGATTTTAATTTTATTCGTTATTATGATCCGGCTTTGCGATTACTTGTATAGATTTTTCCAGTTTTACTAAAATATAGTGGTTTTCATAAATTAAATGAGAGTGACAAATCTTCAGTAAATTAGCCTTCTATAAAAGGACTTGTACGTCATACTGGATTCTGTTGCTAATTGTTAAAAGTAAAATCAAAACACCTTACGCGCAACTCTGTCACATTGCTCATAGAGGAGTCCAGGCTGCATATTTGTTTTACTTGTCTTACTACTCACTGAAGCACCTCCTATAATTTTATTGACTGTTAAATAAAATGAGAGTCGGCTTTAGAAAAGCTTTTATAACGCTTTCCTAATGGGCATTAATGCCATTAGTGGCATTTCCAAGGATTAAAATATAAGCTTATGGTTAAATTTAGACAACCATGATTGTCATATCTTTATTTTTGTAAAAATGCATTTTTGTTTTGGAAGAGAAGAAAGTTTAGGTCGCTTTTGTACTCTAATTTCTTTGAGTATTCTCACTAATTCAGCTCTAGGACTAATTCTGTTAAAGAATAGTCACGGTCGCTACTGCCAATTCCTTTTAATGTGCAATTCACATGGTGCTTAGCTTTGAAAGTGTTGAAAAATAATTTTTGTTTATAAGGTATTTCTCCCGTCTTCTTAGCGTGCCTTCGTGGTGGGGTAGTCTGCACGCTGGGCGCGTATCCAGAGCTTCCGCGGTTAGATTCCCGACGAAGCCGATGCTAATTTTTCATTTTTCCTGCTTTCAAAACATATCTAATGTCTCTATAATACAAATTGCTTCTAATTAATCGATTCTTCTAATTTTAATGGGAATAACACCCATCTTATCCTTACCTGGTTTTCTTATTAACTTTTTAATATAAACACTGTTTGCGACTCTTTGTACTAGGTGTGGATAACAATTAATTACGCAAATGAAATCATCTATGCATTATGTCTTCCAAGTTTAATTCAGGAATTCTGAAGTAGTGCTGTTGAAAATTTAAATTTAGGTAGCTTCGTGCAATCGAAACAATCTTTCCGTTCTTAGCATTGTCTCATGCTTTAGTAATATAATGAACAAATACACTGATAAAAAACTAAATAGCTTATTTCTCTTCGTTTTATCAAAAGCAATTATTTCGGATATTTTATGCTCATAAATTGTTCTGTAATTTCGCATCTTATCCTGATATAAGGTTTTCCTTGTGTACTCTTTCTAAGTCATGTTACATTCTTTACCTTATATTCTTACGGTATTTATCGTCCAAGCAGCGTGACAAGTGTTGCTACTCTAGCTTTACAATTGCCATCAATGTGGCCTAACAAACTGCTGATTCTCAGAGATTGTGGCATGCAATGTGGTAAAATCTTTATAATTCAAATTAAAAATGTGTATGACAAAATTAATATAAGTATTTAAAAGCTATATAGGTACTTTTTACAATATTTATATCTTTGGTTTCAGTAATATCTCTAACTGATATAAATTAAAACGCATCTTATTTTTAACTATATTTTAGTCCTTAGTTGTAGCACTTTATTTAAATTCTTTGCTTTTTTACTTTTAACCAATGTGCTTCAATCTACTCTTAATATTAATAAACATATGAAACTATTGCTAACTTAAAGTTGATTAAATTTTTAAGTGATTTTTTTCCAATGCACATGCAAGAATAACAGAATAAACTTCAAAACTTTAAAGAATCAAACCAACCTCAGACAGTAATAAATAAAGAGTAAAAAAAAATACATTTCTGTAAGTATTTACCGGTATCAGTTCGATGTTTATATTTTTAGCTGATTCTAGAATAATGAGTTAATAAGAATTCTTTTCATCTTACTCATTAGGCTTTTTACCTTAATTTCTTGTCATAACTTCTCCGTACATAGGTTACAGGGAAGTAAATATAAAATAAAAGCCAAAAAATTAAACATAGTATTGAAATTATATTTATGGAAAGCAAAATATATATTTATACATATAGGGTCTTTCAGTGGTGTTTCAGTTGCGGAAGTTATTTTAATGTGATAGTTGTGGAAATTGCAATCCAACTAAGCATGAAAATTTTATAATGCTTCATATTACTCATGAAAGTTGCCTTTTTATTCATGTGGTTACTATTTCACTTCAAACTGTTTACTGTCAAGAGTTTCTTATAAAAGCATTCTTTAATTCTGCATTTTGTTTACTTTCTTTTAGTTGAACTGACACAGCAGGTACCAAATTTTCGCTGCTTTTGTAAAATGTGCAGTTATCGGAAAATTCATAAAACAAGAATTTATTTTAGAACAAGTAATTTAATATAAACCATAAAGTCATATACTGAATATAAAGCATAAAATACGTCACTTAACGTAAAATATGATATAAACCATTTAAAATATTTGATTAAAAGCGGTTTCAAATTAGCTTTGTTTTGCCCAACAAACTACTTTATTTCTTCGAGTAGTGCATCTGGTGAGATCTGTCATTTCGCACATATTTATTTCTGAAGAAAAGTATTGAATATTGTCTGTAAAACAGATTTGCCCTTTGTATTATAAAATTCAGGTTTTTCACACTGCAGCATGAAGCCAAGGTAAATCTAAACTAGTAGGTGTTTTCAACAGCAGAAGAAGACTTATTCATTAAAACATAAATTTGCTCGCCTTCAAATGTACGGCATTTATCAAATGTACGGCATTATTTATTTATGTAATTTGTATGAATGTTTCACTCATAAACTTTTACATTTTGTACATACTAAAATTACCTTCTCAATGCTATTTACAAGTTAATTTTATTACTACAATATCGTTTCCATGATATCTTTATATGCCTTTCATATGTTATGTATTTCGAAATTAATTATTTCCTGCATATTTTACTGATACGTTTACAGATTTACTTGATTTAACACATCATGCATAGATTTAAGGAATAGATTCAAGTAATGTTGTAAACAACTCATTCTCTGATTTGTAACCAATTATATATTTTTTTAATTTTAAAATGTAATTTAGAAAAAATATGTTGAGCAAAACAAATTAAACATGTAGATATATAAACTTCTTGAAACGAATCAAGGAAGGCAGAAAAATTTATTTCGTCAAATTTTAAACTATTTCACTAAGATAGTCAACACAGTCACATTCAACGCAGCTGTCATAGGATGCATAGCTGTCAGTTTTGTGAGTAATTTAATAAGAAAATTTCATTTTTTAGTTTAATCACAACATTTTGGGAAACCTAATGATTTTATAGTTTTAAATGAAATTAAAATAAAACAAATTTGTTTTACTTTCCCATTACCATTATTTTATATTTTCAGGAGAGCCGACTACTGTTCTGACAGATATAGAGATAAGAAGTTTCGGTTCAATATCGGAAACAGACATGGTATTACTTTTGCTTTTCCTTGGAATATACAACTTACTTAACTTTAATACTGTTATTAACTTTACATTTTAAAATGGTGCATGTATGAATCAACTAAAGTTTCACCCAGTGTTTAAAAAACCAAAATTACATTTATTTAAATTAATTCATGTTATGCCTAAGAATTCCAAAGAAAACAGCGACATCTTTGATTGACTGTCCTGCTTCAATGCGTCCGATAGCCCGCGAATTCCCACTTCTTTCAGCCATAGAAACATGAATATCACGAAAAGGTGTCTTATGACACTTAAAATTCATCATATCAGCGCTTAAATAAAATTCCTCAAACTCTTCAGACTGCTGACGTCTTTAACGACTGCCTAATTAGCATATGTTCGGACAGTCAGTCAATCCTGATTGGTTGTAACATACGATATTTGGGTACTCCGATCTGCATTTGAAGCGATTTTCAGTCACTCAAATGCAACTAAGCTTTCGAAAGCTGCGAATTTGTGCTGTGTGTTTAACTTTTGGAAGCCAGTGTATATATCAACTTCATCTACAAAATCTAAATAACTATTTGAATTTCTTGCATTCCTGCTTATACTTATCTTCAGATGACAAGAGTTTGCCCAGCTGTCAAACATTTCAACATTTTGATGCATTGACTGAAAACTAGATTATCGCTTCAAGTCCAAAGTGTGTCCTAAGCACAATCAAAATTTTCGGCAATAAAATAGAATGATTAGTGCTACTTAAATTTTAAATGGAAAATGGATATAAGTGAAAGAGAAAATTATTAAGAAGCCATAAAATATATGCATTATTGGGTATTTTACAGGAGACCTAAGAGAAAGGAGAGAACTAAAAGAATAAATCACAGTCACTCTTGTACCTGAATTTACGTTTGAACACGACGCGAAAACACGTGATAAGGGTTACTATTCATATTCTGCTATTTCCAACCTGTTAGTGGCAGAATGGATAAAACTGCCAGTTCTAAAAAAAAGGTGCTACTGACATTTTTACTGTTTTTTCTGTTTGTAATGTGAATGCAAGGCGTTCCCTTAGAAAATCTTCCAAGAAGGCACTCATTCCGTTAAGCAGAATCTTTGAATTCTATGCCGTGATGAGCCAAACTAAACTGAACTTGAAAGAACTGTAAATCACAGACGCTCTTGTACATGAATTTACTTTTGAATACACTTGAACATCTATCATAAATATATTTAGTTTATTATGCCATATAGTGTCGTTTTAGGCCTACCTGTGCTTGAATGGATAAAACCACCAGTTATATAAAACCAGCTTTACGAACACTTTTGCTGTTTTTTCTATTTGTAATGTGAATGCAAGGCGATTTCCTTATAACATCTTCCAAGAAGGGCACACCTTCTCTTATTCAGAATCTTTCCGTTCTATACCGTAATTAATTAAACTAAACTAACCTAAGTTTTTCCATTTTTCTCTTTCATTTGTGTCAAATTTAGTAGTGTATTTTGTAGACACTGCAGTTGCTGTTTCGTTATGACCTAGATGTGTTAAATAGGTGAAATATCTGGTGAACTCGCTGCTTACCATCGATCACGTATTCCTTCCAGCATGCCTTCGTGGTGTAACGGTTAGCATACTCAGCGCGTATTCGAGAGGTACAAGTTCGAGTCCCGGCGACGGCATTGCTGATTTTTCATGTCTCTTGCATCAAAATAACCTAATTTCTTCACAGTCCTTTAATTTCTTAATCAGACGGTCTGGATATGTGTAAGTGTGCTCTATCGTCCTCGTGAAAATGTCGTGATACGAAACCACTGAATATTAATATCTAAAACGTAGGTTAGACAAATGTCTAGAGACTATCTCTCAGATTTAACAAAGAGTAATTACGATACATCTTTAGTATCCCTTCAGACCTTGATGTGCGATGATGTGATTGTGCAATACTATATAAATACTGAGGTACTTTCGCTTCACTAGGATGACACCTATACTTTTATGAAAGGCAGGAAAGAAGCTCGTTGTTAAGCACCATTGCCTTGGCATGGATGGGAGCTAGAATTTTCTGTGTAGAATGATCATAGAGAAAATTTCTCTTAAAATGAAGATAACCACACAGTGGGAAAACTATAGAATAACTAATGAGATTATGATGCTCCATTTTGTAGCAGATCATGAAACTTTAGGGAACTATTACTACTATATTCTTTGAAGATTATTTGGATTTCAGTGAATTTACCTGTATGATAAAACAGCATAATATAAAACGATAATTTTATTGGTCCCACTATCTGCCAGTTGGCGTGTTACTTTCGGCTACACTCTAAAGATTTTCAGCAACCATATACTACATAACATAAAGTGAAAAAGAATTTGAATATTTGATCGCCTTTTTATTCCCATCTATGACTTGAAACTAGTATAATATTTGTAAGAGACTGCAGAAGTATTTCAGAAATCTCACTTGTACACTTGTAGTTAGTAACCATGTAATAGATTTCCAAAATTGCAAGCTAATTACATTTCCTTTTTTATGTTGTAATTTTCCTCTGATAGTGGATATGTGAAATACTTGAATATGATCTATGTAGTTAGTTATTTTTTTATTTATTTACTTATTTCCTGATGATTTTATGATGTGCGCTCGGTCATTTTCTTCCCAACGACAGGAAATTTGAATGTCTCACTAAATGACAGAGTAGTGGAGAATAAAAATTGCTTCTGTGTAAATTTTATTAAAAGGTGTTTAAAGATTTTAATTAATTTGCAATGTTGTATATGATATACAGGATGTTTAAAAAGATTGCGCGATTAAGTAGCAATTTAACGGTGGTCGAAGACTCGTTATTCCAATTTAGAAAAAAATCTAACAGTATAATCTATAACATTTTCAGTCTATAAAAGTGTTGGTCTTGTAATAAATTTTATTCAAAATATACAAAATTTAAGTTCTTAGATGAAGTCTCTATAAAGAAAGGCCCAATTAATAAGTTATCCTTATCTTACTAAAGATGTTTTAGGGAAAAAGAAATAAGAAAAGGCTTTATAATTTGCAAAATTTATTCCGTAAGAAACATTGTAAAATCTGTGTGATATAAGTCATCTTTGCGGGAAGGAAACGTCATTATTATGGGTAGCATAAACGTTTAATTAAATAGAAACTTTAGAATTTTAACATTTTTGAGAACGGTAGTTTAAGACAAAGCTTGCTACGTTAATATTTGTCTAATATAGAGGATACTGCTGAAAAATATGCAGTTTCGTAATTTGATAAGCACCCTGAAATTTCTCCCTCACAATTTCTTTCTCTGCATGTTCGATGTAAAATTTAATTTTTGCATATGTTTATTAAATGTTGCCTCTGACAATTATTTCCAGAATCTGAAAAATATCTTATTTTGTTCAATTTTTAAATTGAAATCACAAGTTAATCCATTCAACAGAGATAGATTTAGCAGTGCTATACTATTAAGCATTCTGTATAATGTTAATTGCTTGTAATGTCACATGACGCTATATGTGATTTAGTGATTGGTGCATTTGCATTTAGTCAATATATTTTGCTAATTTTTAATGCAGAGCTTAATAGAAGAAAAGAACAGCCACGAATATAATAAAAGCTATTATTAAGTAAGAAATATATTTAACCAGCAAAACTAAATAAGCATTAACAAAAAATGTTTTTTCGTTTCAAACTAATTATTTTTCATAAGTTCTTCAGGCTGGTAAATAGATTCCTTTATCAGTCAGAATATCGTGTAAATTACCAGCTTTAAAAAAACTTATTTGACAACGTACAACATTGTCAGTAAGTAGGAACGATTATTTTATTTGTATCAAATAAAGCGTTGAACTGGCAAAAGAAGCCTTCCGTTACTAAAATTGAGGAGTTTCATAAATATAGCTTCATTCAAATTTAATAAAGTTAAGGGGGCTCATACACCTTAAACCCCTTAACACCCTTCGAATATGTGACTGTTGCAAGAATTGGGATATTTTATTCATTTTAAAATCAATTACTTCCAACCTTTTACAGATGACTACATAATATAGCTGCTTTGGAAACTAGTCACCAGAAAGTTTATGTTACCACAAATATTTTTGTAATTTAATCCGCTTTGTGACAAAATTTTTCGTCACGTTTCCACATTGCGCGCACGATATTTTAAAACTGGCTAATGGTACACACTTGCAATTTGATTGAATTCTTTATATGGGCCCTATCTCTTAACTAAACCAAAAATCTTATGAATATTTTAATATTAAAAAATTTTATGGATGAAAACATTACAGATTTTTTTTAATAAAATACATTTTATAAACTCGACTCCAAACAAAATTAAAATTTAACGTGAAATTCTTAGAATTTTGGTTCACAGTAGTTTTCAAATGTTATAAAAGCTATATATTAAATATGGAATTAAATTACGCAACAGAATGTTTTAAACTGTGCGCGCAAGGTGGAAACATGCCGAAACATTTTGTCACAAAGAAGATTAAATTATAAAAATATTTGTGGCAACACAAACTTTCTGATCACTATTTCAGAAGGCAGCTATATTATGTAGTCATCTGTAAAAAGTTGGAAGTAATTGCTTTTAAAATAAATAAGTTATCCCAATTCTTGCAACAGTCACATATTCGAAAATCTTATGGGTTTTGAGGTGTACGAGTCCCCTTAAACTTGTTTCCTTCTGCTTCTTGAAAATAGTAAACACCGCTCCTCAAAATGTATTCTAATCACATCAAAATAACATAATGTAAAAATAAAGTTTATGTTTTCGAAAAGATCTTCTTTTAAGGAAAAGCAAGCACGAATTAATATTTAAAAGAAGTAATGATTTTGTCATTCAGTTCTTTAGTTTAATTTATAAGTAGCCAATATAGTATGGAAAAGGTACGTTTGATATTTACTTCACTTTGCAACATTATGGTTGCAGCTTTCTGTAAAATGATCTTACGGGTGATCGGATGAAAACGCGCCCAGTATATTTATCGAAATTCTCCAAAGTTTGCTTTGCTTATAATGCTCAAATGTTTAACATTTCCTTGTCAGTATGTTTTATCTGAAAGTCAAAGCACTTGACAATTCAAAATTCTTATTGACGCTAAATATTCCTTTACTTGCTTTTATTTATAACATTACGATTAAACCATATAGTGTGTTATAAAAGTAAGAATTAAGATTTATTTGCTTATATTACTTATTTAAACTGCCGTATGTAGAGAGGAATTTAAGCTCGTTACTATTTAGAGTTTTTAACTGCATTATTAAATGTAGAATTTACGCTGAGTGAAGAGATTCCCAGATTTTTGTCATTATATATTATAGTCAATTATAGAAAATTTATGAATACTAAGCTTACGAATTAAAAAAAGAATAAAAACCGTCTTCTGTCTTAAATACACATTGCGATTTACTTTGTCAAATATAGCAAATAATGTCGTATTCTGATCAGAAAAGAGAACTCCTTTTAAGTTTGCAATATTTCTATAAAAAGTAGTTAACCATTCGTCATAATGCAATCGAAATTCCAAGAGTGCCTAAAAAGGATTGACGTTTGAAGTACAATCGTCATAATATGATAGTATAATGAAGAGGATTGAGCTTTGGAAAATTTATAGTTTCTGTATTTCATATGTTGAATTCCAACGCATTGCTGAGCAAATTTCGAATACCAGTACGATATTTCACGTGACTTCCAAATCTCGAGAATCTGGCAGCTCTAGTCGTTTCTATGGAAACAGAAAAACACAGACTGCGCCTGCAAGCTTTGTGATCACGCTAACCTTAGACCTGATTTCTTTTTCTATACGCTTGCAGGAAAGGGTGAAAACAAAGTCTTTAATAATAATGACACAGATAACCCTTGCGTGTCCTCGCCCACAAACTATAACGGATGTTAATAAATTCCTAAGTTCTTTCCTCAAAACCAGAAACTGAAGTTCTTGCGTGGTTAGAGTTTCAGATTTCTGTAAGCGTGTAGTGTGGTGAACGTAGAATTTTATTTTTTATTGCAAATGATCCAGAAATCCTGGTACAGTCACCCATTTTCCGTGCTCACTGAGGAAATAATAAACAGTGTCAAAAGGCAAAATCTAAAATTAAAGTGACTGACCACTTTCATGTGCGATAGAATAATTACATTGCTGTTCATATTCTCAGTTTTCTAAGGAAAAATAAATTATGTTCATTATCTATTCTAAGAACTCCAAACATATTTTGCTCTTAATATTTTATGATGCTCTTGTGGCTTAAATGTGTAGGGCAATTTATCCTCAACTAAATTCGGAGATGTTTCACGTTTTCAAGTAAATTCACAATAAATGTTTAATATAAATATTTGATTATAACTGAGACCTATATTTTTGGTAGGAAAAATGATTACGCTTCTTGACTTTTAATTACATTTTACAAGCATTGGTTGTTTACCTGGTTTATCCTTTCTCCTCAGATTTTTTCTATGGATTGCTACTTTCGTCAAACTTGGTTTGATCAACGACTGCGGTTTCAAAGTGGAAATCTGACAGTTTTATCCATGGATTGGAAATTTTTGCAACGGATTTGGACACCAGATACTTATTTCCTTAACGGAAAAATTTCATACTTGCACAAAGTATCTGCTCCTAACAAGTTCATAAGAATCCGATGTGATGGCCAGCTGAAATATTCAATGAGGTATAATAAAGAACTCTGGTTTATGGATTTTCATTAAATAATAATTTTTTTTAATCTCATATTTTTATTTGTTCACAGGTTAACCATCCAGACTAATTGTCCGATGCATTTAAGGAAATATCCTTTGGACAAACAAGCTTGTCCGCTCTTTATTGGAAGCTGTAAGTCATTTTCTTAAATATATTCCTTGTAAATGTATTGCACAAAGTTTCAGAGTTAGAATTAGGCGCATTATTAAAAAACATTAAAATTAGAAATGAGGAAATATTTGAAATATAATTCAATGAAAATTAACTATATCGATCAAATTCGAAAATTTGTATAACAAAAGGAGACTCACTATTTACTATGTGTACTTAACCTCAGTAGGAATTTTTACATCCTGGGATACTGATCAGATACTCAACAACCTTATACAAAAAGAAGTCAATATTCTTTCGACTGGTATCATTTTATAAAATCTTGTCTTTTAAACATACTTAACGAATGTAGTTTTTCAATACTAGTGCTAAGTTCAATAACCCGGTAAAATATTCTGTCAGATTTGATTTTTAAACTATGCAATCTTTGTTTCATTCCTTTCTGAGACTTCAAAACTGGCAATAAAATGCAATCCAAACTAACTTTGAGGACATATATCTCCCGCATTACAACAATTATTTTATCCCATTTTTCTTTTGTAGTAGACCTTTTATTAGTATCAGATTTTTTAATCGAAATAATCTTTAACAATAAAAGCCTCCACCTTTGTTTCCTGCAGTCGTTGGCTGAAACCAACAGCAGAGTCAAGCAGCTGAAACTCCAAATTTCAGTTTTTGCTAAAGAAGCAAGTAGTCATAAATGGTAGCATGAGTGACGAAGTTGATCTCATGTCTCTAGAGATAAGATACTAACTTAAGCCGATAAGATATTAACTTAGGATTCTGTATTTCTAGACTACTAAATCTGTTATATTCTCCATCACTTCCGATGGCTAAACCTGTCAGCGCTTTCACCCCGAGCCTTCCAATGGTCTTTCGTTTTCACCATGTGTCAAAAGTGAAACCAAATTATGCACACCATACTCCTATTTTGGTCATTCTGTGTGTGGCTTATTATGTTTTTGTTTTCACTGCATTCTAAGCATTATTTTAGATTTTATTTGTTATTTGCTATAACTTGATAAGTTGCGTTTAATTTTTAGAAACTCGATTATATAAATAATCGGTTTTTCTGTTTATGACATCTCGGCTTACGGAAAGGTGCTTAGTGATTGTCTAAACGCAGATAGCGTGGATAAAACGTGAGCTCAGATAACAGGATATGAATGAGTGTTTAATGAACTATTTTCAAGTGCGTGTAAATTGACATAAAATATGTATCGTAATCTATTAGCATATTCACTTTCCACTTTCGAAAAGATGGTTTAGCACGCGATGAAAATTAACTTCTAAACGTGTACTTCAGTTCCGTTTGCGTGTAACTCACTTTATTAGGGAAGGGAATATATAAATATCATTTGATGCAACACAAGAAAGACTTATTCTTCACAGATATGTAAATTAGTCATTGTTGAAAACGACGTTTTTCTGAAGCGTTTAAGCAGACGAATTTTTCTGCAAACAGAAGATTTAGAAGGACGATACAGTTATTTATAATTGGATACAATTAATTATAGCTCAGAAATGGTAACTGGATGAATCTCAACGTTGACATCCTGTCAGCCGACTTGAAGAAGGACACTCTATTAGATTTCGCTATTTGATTTGGTTTTGCCTACTCTATGAATACTAGCTTTTGGAAACATTTCGGAAAGAGGTCACTAATTGTCATCTGACTTAATTATCATCGTCCAAGGGTTACTGGTCCTTTTTTTGAAGATAAATATACGTATCGGTTTATTAGTTACGTTCGAAACACCGCGGCATCTCTAAGAATCATTGGATGGACAATAGCTGCGACTACTGTTCAACAAAAACTAGTTGGAAAAAGTTGTACTCCCAATAACTACAACGTTGTTCCCTATAAACGTAAAAGCCAGAGTAGCGAGATCATTGGTATGCAAACTGAAAACTGAAAAGCAGCTGCGTGCCTCAGTATCGAAAAGCAGCTGCGTGCCTCAGTAGTATATAGCTGCGTGCCTCAGTATAAACAAAGCTACGATAGGTCAAGACTTGCGCTAGAACGTGATATAAAGCGCATGTGAACGAGAAAGAAGAAAGAGTGTGGAACAAGCTCAGTAACAGTATTGAATGTAATGATTTCAGTGCTGGCAATATAAAGGTGTGAGATAGAGAGTTTCTCTAACGCATTATACCATCCTGTAAGTCCACGTATGGTAGCCACAAAAAATTTATAATACGGAACAGAAGCAGACTGCGTTACAAAACAACAGTTGGTTTAAGGAACTGAAGGATAATTTGCTGCTTATTAACGTGGAATATGGACCCTAGTATTAAGAAGACAACACTGGTTATTGATAAAGCAGAAAACTCAATGCTTGAAAGGAGTCAGACATTTACTTCTAACTTACTAAATATAAGAGAAACAGGAAAGTAAAAACAATAGATTTCGTTGTTTTTATGAAATTTATTTCTTTCTTAAAATGCCCAAACAGGCATATTTGCATCACTGACATCATTTCAGTAACTGCTAGTATATATCTGTGACTATAACATAAAAGCCTACCACTATAAAATAAGGTTGTTAAAATAAAGGCCGAGGAATGAGTTTTCTAGACACGATATAGTATAAAGGGTGCTCGGAAAATATCTGGAAAAAATGCAAAGAAATGTAGTAGGAACCGAAATAAACAGATTTTGTGATGCAGTGTGTGTTTCTAAGTCACGCTTTGAGGTGGTAGGGCACTTTTGAATCGGAGATAAATGTGTTTTACTGGAGTGAACTGTCATTCCCCTATGCAGGTACCGAGTAGTATACATTCGTCGCCGGAAAACGTAGCTCGCCGACATGAATTTTGTATGTATTGCTGCGGATGGAGAAATAACAGCTGTTCAAAAGAGAAACTTGGGAATGTTTCATTGCACCTCTTTTTAGTAAGGGATCCGTTTTAGCCTCAGCCCTATAGATAAAATTCCTCTTGGCAAGGTTCACATTCGTATAACAATGATTATTAAATTATAATGATTAAACACTATGTGGCAGAAAGAAAACACAAGCACTTCGCGCTTAGCAAAACTTACAAAGATTTCATTGCCACCATTTTATACCTAATTGCAAATGATATATCTATCAGAATTATGAGCGAGGTTTCGATGAAGGATTTAGATTAGTAGTGAATGTATTTTACTCTCTAAAACTGAGTTTAGACAGAAAACGCGCACCTGTTTTGTATTTGCGAAAGCGCTTTTTTTGGAGTACCAAAATGATTTTCTATAAGTTTATGACTAATCTAGGACTACATTGAATTTTTTCCCACAAATTTAAACAAAGCTACGATTTTTAATTTTATTAATTGATTTTATTTTATTAGTTGATGTCTAACTTTGTCTTCTCTGTAGTATAATGATTGCTGCTTTTAAATTTCCTAATCACACATAGAATTTTCAGAATTCATTTTAAATTTATTCTTATTTAGTTGCGTATACATCAAAAGATGTTTTATACAAGTGGAATGGACCTCATCCAGTGGCAGTCGCTGATGATGTGACATTATCGCAGTATGATTATCTTGATATTCAGTTAGCAAATCATACAAAAGGAGAATCAGAAGGTAAGAAATAGTAAGACTCTCATGATAGTAAGTTTTAAATTAGAATATATTTATTTGCACAAAATAAAATAAACTTGCTTGTACTTTAATATATATGTTTTTAGTTTGATCTTTAGTAAATTTCAGCAACTTTATAAGTTCATGCTTCGAAGAAAGTTATTTAGATTTTAACTAGTTATACAAAGTAACTATGAACATAGGCGTTCATCAATTTTGTACGAATACTGTGATTCTGAAATCCTGATATACGTAGTATTTTAGAGCATTTTAATTTATTTGAGCTTAACTATTTTTTTTTTTGTACTTACGCTAGTAAAAACAGATTTTACTTTGAAATTCATTAAAATCATGAAATATTCACGTTTGTCCCATGGATTCATGGAAAAAAAAAACAAAGGAAAGAAAATCAATGACGTAAACGCTGTTTATTCTTCTGTTGCAAAGTACATAGTCGTAATAACAAACCATGATTTGAGGTGATAATTAAAGCGACATCACAGTGAAAATTTCATACCTGAGACCATGTAGAGTATTGTGATAAAATATTTTGGAAAACATTTTTTGTAATCACTTTTTGAAAATGTGTTGCATATTTCTAATAAAATGCTCACTGGTTTATTTAAAATAGAGATACTACAGATTTGGTAAATTATGATTAGTTGGTATTTAACTGATATCCTCTCACGAGGATACCTGTAACCAAGCATTCGCGTCTATTGAAACAAGTTTCTAAGTATCATATATTATTTTCTTTACAATTTATTTTCACTACGAGGACAAAATAAAGCATTTGGGCCATTTCACTTAACCAGCTCTTAAATTTGAGATGTGAGACTAAGTTTTTTACTTTCCCTCGAAGTTCAAAAAGTGAGAAACAGATTATTTATACAGACATGCCAAATGCAACTGAAGCAATATCTCTTTACCTTAAAACAGGCGAGGAGACATTAGTTTGGTGACAATTGGATTCGAATAATATTTTGAAGCGTTGTGTGGAAAACACTAATGATTCTAAAAGCTTTTTTTCGAATAGATAATATGCAGGTTATTTTTATTACTCTTTATCACTTCATTTACAGCTGCAGTAATCACAAGCCTTTCAGGTTAAAATGTAACAGCAGAAATAGACCTTTTTCCTTTTAAAAGTAGTTTTGGGCTGGCTGCATGGGTGTTTTCGTGGTTTTTCCCATGTGTAACGTGTATACTAGCCAGTTTCCCTTAGAAAGTCCTCCACGAAGGCATCCCTCCCCGTAAGCAGAGAGTATCGTAAAAAATGATAATATTTCAGAAATGTGTTGCCCTAAAATTACTAAAGATATTGCATTGATATAAATTTTAAAGAAATAATAATAATTTTTTCTGTATGGTTTAATAGGTTTCGATATAACGCCTTCTGTCACATAGTAGACCATGAGACTGTCAGTAATCTCGTTTTGATCTCTCTGTATTAAGAATTACATTTACAATGGCTATTATTCTTTGCCATGGCGTTGGACAACCTAAATGCTTTCATCCATTTAATGTTTCACATTTTGCTGCACAACCCAAGGAATCAACAGGACATCTGTTAAACCAGCGTATTGGCCCTGACCTCTCATTCTACGAACTGGGAAAGTTCTCATTCATACCTTTAATCAAGCAGCCGTTAGAAAGTGCATGAGTTCGCTGCTTGTTAAAATTTATCCGAGATAACATCGATTCACATTGCCTCAGAAAATCGAAGCTGTACTGTAGAACCTAGTTTGCACTAAATGCCGTATATCTGTATAGATGTAAAAATTACAATGCAGGTTAACGATATTCGTAAATTCTATGTAAAATTTTCCAAAAATTGCTGAAAATTTCATTTAACAAATGATTAGATTCTTGAGTTTTCACACTACTTTTCAGCATACGAAGGAATCTGAAATACTGGCTGTACTTGAAGTAAAATTAATGCATTTTTATCCTAAGTACACTAAAATACTAAATACAAAAATGATATATTCTGTTTTATGAAGCTCTTTCGTTGTATAAATTTCTTTAAAATATAATTTAGAAGCTTTTGCAACACTTAATCATGTGCTACGCACCGAAAATTATCAACTCAAATCTGGTTGATTGAGACATTAAATAAAAAAAGGCACCCAGCCGGTATAGTGGTTAGCGTGACTAACTGCCGTGTCGTAGTGCCCGCGTTGGAATTCCGGTGAAGGCATGGATGTTTGTAAATGTATAGCGTCGGTGCGGTATGCGGTACCTTAAATATGCGGCGAGTCGAAAGTCCTTTCGTGTGGTTTGGTGGAAGGGAAGAGGGATGGGAAACCCTTGGGGGCGGAAGTGAGCCAAAATCGCACTATCACCCGTTAGATGTTCAAGGCTAACGACAGACGTAATCTAGCGCTCCTTGCCACGAGGAATTTCGTGTGCTTGGGCTGACTACATCAGACAAGTGAGCATAAGCAACAACAACAACAAATAAAAAAAAATTAGTTTAGAGGGCACTTGGGAAATGTTAGGTAATCAAAAATATCTGATAGTTTTTATCTTCAAAGCTTCCGCCAGTTATTTTGAGGTCTTTCTTTATGCATAAAATTCAACGAAGAGAATAATATGTGCAAAAGTATTTCGTTTGAAATTCAAAGAGAAAACAGTCAAATATTAAAAAATAGGTCAATATTATTAATTTTACTTTCTACTAAAACTAAATTTTACTAATTTTACTTTCTACTAAAAGTACCAAAACGGTTAATTTAAGTATCATGAAAAGATGTTCACACAATAGATTCTCTTCTTATTGAGCTTTTCTGAACAATGAAACTTTCTCCTTTCCGTCAATAACTAATTTTGTTAAAAAAATTCCCTCTGCTTCTGAAAGAGAAAAAATTTATATTTAAATTGTTAAAGTGCACTGCTGACAAAAACTGTAACACCAGGAAGAAAAGCAAATAGCATAACCTTATTTACTATACATACACAGTATAACGGGAAAAGACATGATTAAATTTGCAGATGGTTTAGGGTATACACAGTTTGCAGAATTCGGAACACAGCGTTGTCACCTCTGGCAGTAATAACGGCTGTTATCCTGCTGGGCATCGATAACCCATAACCAGGTTTTCTGAACGAGTGAGAGATCTGAATTACGTGCTGACACCGGCAACAGACCAATATCCACCAGACCGAGGAAGTTCCTGCATTATTTTGCTGAAAAACGGTGTCATGCAGGCATCAAAGATAAGGCACAGCCAAGAGTTTTAACATGCCAGAAATGTAACAGTGTCAGTCCACATTACAGCTATGCGAACAAGAGATGACTGTGATGTGTACCCAATAACACATCATTCCAACCCTCCAGGTGGTGTGCCCGTAAGACAACGAAGAACGCAAGCTGGCAACATTCGTTCACCTCGATGCCTCCACACATAGATCTGTCCATCATGATATTGTAAGCAGAGCTGGGGGTTCATCTAAGACAGGGTTTCTTAAACGTTTTTCAGTCCCTAACCCTTTTTATCACTGATATTATTTCGCGACCCCCAGAACCCCATAATGTGTAAAAACATTTTGGAGGACCTCATAAGTACTGCGCAAATCCGACACACGCGTGAGTGAAACTGTCAATTTGTTCACTTGTATTGTAATATACTACTGCAGTTTTATGTCATTAACTTTATTTTATAATTTTATGACAGAACAATATGAAAATTTTAAATAAGTAACAGACGAAATGACAGCGTCACGTGCAAAGCAAGGAAAATGAAAGTTTATATTATAAAAAGAATACGTAGAAACATTTTCGTTTTTCTTTGTCTGTATTGTCTTATATTTATCTATTTTCAGATAGATTGTGTAAAAATATTTGTTAATTGTAAAATTATAATAAGTTAAGAAAATATCAAAACTGCTAAATTTTTGGCGAAAACCTTGCTGCATGTCCCGCGAAACCCCTGGGGGTCGCGACCCACATTTTAAGAGAGCCTGATCTAAGAAAATGATGTGGTGCCATTCCTATGCTAAGTGATATCGTTCGTCGCACCACTGTAGGCCCGTCTGTCTCTACTGCAGCGTAAATGAAAACTACAACAATGTTCTTCGTGCTGACAGTCCGTGGTACTGTAGTCGTCGACACACCGTCCGTAGACACTCCTCGTCGTGAGCACAAGCCACATTCCTGACTCAGAATACGTGACTTGGCTATACAATCCTCCGCAAGGCCAAGAGGACAACATCCCTATTCTCTCGGATTTTAGTGGCTTGGAGCCGCTGAGATGCTGCATGCCGTTCAGTGACCCTCCTGGAACCATGCATTCCATATTCGCCTAATAGTTCTGGAATGCCGAAAAACACGGGCATCAATGTCGCAGAACGGCAAACCACAGTCCCAATAGAAGCACAATCGTGCAGCTGTCGAATTCCGATATACACAATTTAGATGGCATTACTCATGCCTGCTTTGTGAATATGCACTGTAATGCAAGTCTCAGCATGTAATGCCTTTCATGCAAATTGGAGATTTTTGCATGATGTAGCAATTTTAATCTCCAACAGTGTATTCTAGTAAATTATCGGAACTAAGACAGTGTCGAATCACACACAATATTTTAAAGAATAAATTATGCATTTCAAGAATTTCCTTTCTTTCCACTGACAGCGAGGCAGTCGATCCACTGGGGCAGTTAGCATATAGGCCAGATAGCCCTGCTGTCGGAATTAAATTGATCCAGATAACACACTTTGGTTCATATTGTGCTCAAGATGAGTGCTGGGGGGCGATGCAAATAAATGCTGGGCGAGACGATAGTGCAGTGATGGAAGAAGGGTGCATTGCAGGTGAGGAGAACAATTTCCACTTACACATTTACAGAGGTATAGATAGATGGTTACAACAGGCATCCATAAAGTGAACAATAAATGAGTACTGCACAATATATGAGCAATTAACAGAGTGACTAATAAAACAATAAAAATAATACATAAAATAAGGTAAAATACTAAATAGCAATAATAAAATTTCTAAA